ATGTTGGAATCTCAGGCTCGTATCTCAGATTTAGTTGAACGAACTGAACGTGCCGAGCAGAATTCGTTACTGAGTACTCAGAAACTGGCCAATACGTCTGCTAATGTTGAGGCTCAGGATAAATCTAAGGTAAGATTTGTTTTATCAAATTTGAAATATTAATGCAATGTTAAAATTTTTAAATAGTTTATGGTAAGATTGTGGTGGTCCATTCAGTGGCGGAGACAAAGGGGGGCAGAGGGGGCAGACGCCCACCTAGCAGCCCCGAAAGCTAGTTTTTCAGGCAAATATCTCATAACTAGGTTAGAAATTTGGGCAATCTCAGATATTTCGCCCTCCCTTCAGGGTTCATTTTAGTTTGAGTTATTGTCCTTGTTCTTTAAAATATATTCATTCTCTGCTCTTTATTACTTTCATTTTGTTGTCCTAGTAACATGACAACTCTCTCACCAACTATTCCGTAATGCATCCTTTGAGAAAGGACTTGCAGAGCAGTAGCAAAAGAATGTACGCTTACAAACTAACCCAGGGATGTAATACTCCATTTCATTTCATGACTAGTAAATATATTTTGAATATATTATCCACAGAATGAAGTAAGAGAAGAATTACAGAAGTTACAGATTAGTTACGCTAGAATAGAGGCAGAATTAAAACATGAAAAACAACGAGCTGACATGCTACAGGAAGACTTACTCGATTCTCAAAAGGTATTTCGTTCATTTTCATCAAAAGTTGAAGTCAATGATATTTATGCTCATGCTTGTCTCATTCAAACCATGAAAACAAGCAGTCCACTTTATTTGTAGGTAGAATAAATAGTGATAGAAACTATACAGAATTAACTTATATTGTGTTGATTACTATTATACCAGTCTAAAATCTCCATTTTCGATTAATGTAGCCAGTCTAGAAGATCTAATTTTGTTGGTTTATAATTCCTTGTAATATCTGTATAATTGTAGGTGAGAACCAGTCTAGAAGCTCTGTGTGCCAATCTGAAATCTACCAGCAGTCATCTAGAAGAGAAACTCAATGTAAGTCATCTCAATCTGTATCACTTTTTAGAAATTGTATCTAACTTACGGTTCCCCTACAATTGAAAGAAACATGCCTTAAAATTTAAACTCTGCTGAATTATACTCATCATATGAATGTTTTATTGCATGACGTTTACTAAAAACTAACACTGAATGTTTTAAAAACAGTTTTGGGGCTTGTTTATAGGACTTGACTCTGACATTGGTCATTCATTGTTGTTTGATACCATTATTTACCAAGCCTGTTGTCGAAATGAAAATCATTA